ACCTCATCAAGAAAACACACAATTTACAATTAACAATTAATCTTGTGGTGTGTTCATACATAAACAACAGAAGATAAGGCAGAAAGCATGACAATCTAAATGAATCCCAAGTAGGTTCCCTTTGATGCCTATATTAAATTATCCCTCCTTCAACAGTGCAGATGAATAAAGGACTGGTAAGGGAGGTGAGTAACTATACCAGTTTAGGGACTTTTATATCCACTTATGAAAAGAACAACTGGGAGACTTACTAGCCAACATTCAAGTCAAATGGCTTAATATCCATCCTATCTATTTTATTTCTAACAAAGAAATTTTTGAGGAAACTGTTAGGGTTCTCACACCTTTGAAGGTTTTGGGTGTGGTAGATGAGTCTGATTCAAAGACATACTATACATTAACAAAAGATAACATGGAAAAGATTGTCAGTTGCAGGGTGGTTTGGGAAGAAATCAGGGTGTAGGGGAAGAAATTCCACCAGCTCAATGAGGTAGCACCTGGAAGGTGAAAATGCTGGTATATCAGAAAAAAATACATTTTAAATAGTCAAAAATAAATAAACAGATTTCAAAAATAGTCCATAGTTGGTACTCAGTGAGATTAACGCCAATAATAGGTACAAAGTCCCCAAGCTGTTGGAAGGGTTGCAGTCAGAGATGTGGTGAAATTATGAAAATGGGTATCATTTAAAAAAATCTTATTCTAACATTAGCATCCTTAATGTGGTTCTTTATTTGAATTCAAACTGGATCCAAACTGGAAGACTTTCTATTTCAGATCTGGAAACTGCGCTAAGAAGAAAGATAGGTACTTAATGGCTTTTCTGGTCATGAAATTTTAAAATAGAAGCTTAACTGTGACTGATATCAAGATCCTCATGCTTCCCGTTCCAGAATGTCATGTTTGAAATATAGCATTTGCATCTCCCGAACATGAAAGCGCCTTCAGCATCCGCTGCAGGCCCTGAGACATGCAACAACATTGTGGTGGAACAGGAAGCACATGGAATGTTCACATCCTGTTCCTGCACAACAGCAGTACATCTGAAACAGCTCTGTGTGGAAGGTTCTTGAGCTGCAAATGGCTCCCTGTTGAGCTAAGTACCCTTATGCTTGAACAGTTGCACAGCAGGAAAACATTATTCTTGTTTTGAACGAAGGAGTCCAAAAGGAGCGATAAGTCACGTTTGTAAAATGTGCAGTTCTTCACTCAAGGGAAGAAAGGGAAAGAATACAGAAACTGGGCTGAAAGTTTCAATGGCAAAATGTGATAGTCATGGTAGTAACAATAGATGAACCAGGGATTCACAATATTTAGGACAGGACAAACCTTGGTAAGTTTTATCATTACAAAAAACGACAACGCAGCAGGTTAATATCTTTGGGGAACCTGTTCTAGTTCTTTATCTCTGCTGCCACCACCCACTTCTGTGTCACCTAGAGACAAGGGTGCAGGACTCCCACTGCCTTATGGTGGTCTCCTTGGGAGTAGGGGAAGATCCGGATGAATGCCAAGTCTCCAGCTTGGCAGCTTCACCCTGTCCTTTTCCCAGGCCCTTTGACAACCTGGACAGCCCAGAAATCCAATTAAGTGGTTCATTCAAAAGGAATATATGTAGGCAAAATATGAGGGAATACTAAGTATGCAGCTCAAAACTGAAATAAAACACTAGCAGAATATTAGTTGAACAAACCCTAACCCTACACTTAATCCAAGCAAACTTACTCTCCAAGGTCACCTCTGGTGAAGGCAGGTTCAGGTATCAGTTGCAGGTTGAGAGGTTCATAAGGGACAAAGAACTGCATGGCTACAGACCATTTTTAAGAGTTTGGGACCCAAGTTAGAATTTGACCGTTTCTAGTCAATTAGAGCCATGGGGGTGCTAGGGAGATGGTAGGTGCCTCCTGGGGCAGAGGAAGATGGTTATCTTGGATGGAAATTGCCACTAGATTTCCCCCTCTTCTAGGCAGGCTTAATCAGTAACCTTGATGTGACTTCTTTGCTTATCCATGATGGAGTGCTAGGTAATCTTAAAATCACAGATTGGCAGGTAGTATTATTGCACCACATGAGTCACACTAAAACTGCAGACCTAACCCCAGTTACCTGGGAGTAAGCTCCACTTAATTCAATAGGATTTACTTCTGAGTAAATAGTATAGTTAAGACTGCTGCAGCCTGCGCTATTTGGAGAAGGACTGAAGTTGGCCCAGCTGGACAATCTCAAACAATTGGAATAATCCAGCAACTTCTCAGCCATACAAATATGGAAAGAGGGCGTAGGAAAAAGATATAGCCATCCAGAGACTCCCATGTACGCTTCCCTAAATCCTTTAGATATCCCATTCGCCTCAGTAAATGGGAGGATTCATTCTGTGATTACAAAGGAAAGCACAAGCTTCTTTCACTGAAGTGAAGGAGGTAGCCTCTGTGGTCAGGAGAGCTGAACCACTGTGTCTACAGCAAATCACAGAATAGTGGGATATGGATTTCATGCTTGGCATACTTCCTTTGATAACTCATTTTGTCTGATAGGCACATATAGTGTCATAAATTCTTTGTCATAAAAGAAGTTTCATTTTAGGGTTTTTTTTTGGCAAAGTGGGCGGGGGGGGGGAGCTAAAAACCTCCCAGATTATTTTTTTCTAGAATTGCACTGTTAGGCATAGCTCTCACAAAGAGAAGACGACGGCATAAACCTGTTTCTCAACTGCATCACTAAAGACTACCAATGAGAGCTCACGTAACTGAACGTTCCTCCATTAAAGAAAGGAAACGAGAGGAGGAACCATGCACATAGAAAATTTGCCATCTCCTGTTCTGTATCCTGATCAAAATTAGGAATACAGTTGGATGGTGTGGTTTTTTTTTGCGGGGGGGGGGGTCACACAAAATTGGTTCAATTTATATGCAAATTTTGTGTGTGCGCGCACATGCATGTTTAAAATGGAGAAACTAGGATCACTGAGCACACAAAGAACTGACCCAGAGAACAGAAATAGGTTGACCTTCCCATCCATAATGGGCATGATGGGAAAAGAGAGCTGTTCACACATTACATCCAATGAGTACACAGTTTGGGGCTAGGACTACGGGAGTCAAAAAGGAGACTGTGTAATCATGGCTCTCGTTTGCATTCATTAAAAACAACAAGCATTTGAGGAAACAGAGCTGATAATAAACAGCCTGTGTGGTGCATCCATAAATAAATTAGAGCCACCTCAAAAGACTTCTCTAGTTTATACCAGAGTATTTTACTGCAAGCCTTTAGCTTTGACAAATATTCACACTTAGGTGGCAAAAAGCCCTCTGACACTTACTTTCTCTTACTCTGAACTGCGGCTCTTGAGCCCCAGAATGTTAAATCCATTCTTTCATTTGGGAACAAAAGCCCTGCTCTATTCTGTTACCCTTATTTAAAATCCGTACCACAGAACTAATTCAATTATGCCATAATACTCAGTTGTCACATTAGTCCCCCGTATTTCGGAAATTCTTGCATTTTTCACAGCTAATTTGCTTCTCCAATTTCACAGAGGATTCAAGTAATAGTGCAGCTTCAATTGTTCATTGCAAGCACTGGGGAATAAAACCCTAAAAGGATTGCCTTCACATCACTTCCAGAAGAGACTGAAAATTGCTCCACAATGTTTGCCTCTTGCGTTTGGCGGTGGAAGATAATGCACTTCCATCCAAGCTGTTAGGCTGGCTACAAAAGCACTACATCTGGCATAGCAATCCTTAAAAAAAATAAAATCCATTTTCGTGCATTTTTAGGGAACTTGGAGAAAAGCAAGAGCTCCAAAGGTCTCCAGCATCAAGCAAGGTGGAGTGCTTTTACATGCAAACACAGATTACTCTGTACCTCACAATGTCAAAACAGCAAACCCAAAACAAACCTAAAATGAAACTTAGATTCACAAGGTGCCTGAGGGCTTTCTTCTATGCACTTATAAACTAGGAACACAGCAGGAAGGTGCAGTAAGTGTAGCTGCCTAAAGTTTCATACCAACTACTTACCCCAAAGCCCGAGTCCAGAGCCAACCCACGACATTTCGCAGTCTGAGGTAAGGGACAAGGTGGCATCTCCCATTCCACGCATAGAAGCTGACTGAATCTTGCTTCGACACCAGAGGGCGGAGGGGGAAACAGCATCCACTACCACACCTGAGGACATAGGCTACTTCAGGCACGCAATGTGACACATGTAGCTCTGTATTCCAACATCTTGCTGCAGTTGCTGCTCACTCTTTTCTTTTATTAATTTACAATTGTTGCTCACTCTCAAGAACCTGCTGCCAGAAGCAACCACACCTCTTTACTAGCCCTGTTAGAGAAGCCCTATTATGAGGCCCACTAGAGGCCGACTAAGGAGTATCCATCCACCTTATAGCACAGAGGTGGCCAGAGGAAACATGGGGCTACTTGAGGCAATGAAATCAGCAGAGCACTCACAGTCCATTCAAAAGTCCTTGTGCCACATGGACTAGGTCAGTGTACATTAGCAGCTGAGTTCAGCTTCTCCCCATACAAGCCCAACCACTGCTTAGGCCACACCTGCACCATAAATATTACACACACTCATACCCCAAAGAATCCTGGGAAGTGTAGCTTGTTAAGGGTGCTGGGAGTTGTTGAGACACAGAGCTACAATTCACAGAGTTCCCTAGGAAGAGGGATTGATTGTTAAACCACCTCTGCTAATTGTAAGTATGTGAGGGGAATAGGGGGTCTCTTAACAACTCTCAACACCCGTAACAAATTAGGGTTCCTGTTTTTTGGGGGAGGATGCCATAATTGTTAAAGTGCTGTTATAATAGTGCTTTGAATACATTGTGTGGATGTAGCCTGAAACTTCTGCACTGTGATCACTGCTCCACATGCTCTCAGCATCTGAATTGGAAACACCTGTGCCAATGAGCAATTGCTCCACCTCACTGATATTGTGAGTTGGAGCAGTCCTTGTCTCTGGGGCTTTCCAAAGAAGATGCAGCATCCTACCTTGTCCAGAAGAAACTTCCTATGGCCGATGAGTGGCCCTGTGGACTCTGTTCCATTTCTGTTGGTTGCTTTTAATTTGTACCGCTGGTTTTTCAAGGACTGGAAAGCAGGTGAAAGCATGGTTCTGAAAGGGGGGGTGGTCAGAGAAGAAAGGGTTAAACAACACACCTGCATGCCCCAACTGCTATTGTTTCTCCTCTCAAACTTCCAGCTTTCATCATGAAACACATACACTATTGCAATGTTGTTAACATCAGCTCCACTCACAGTGTAACACTGAGTTTGGCTTTAAGTGGCCTTTTGAAATATTCTACAGGGTAACTAAAACGCCTTCACATTTGTAAAAAATATAAACACAAAAACCCCTGATGGCAACATAGAACATATTTTGATAAAAGAACAAGCTTCACCTACTTTTATTCTAATACAGTATTTATTTTAAAACTCCCCAATGCTATTGCCAGATACCATTAGCATTACGACCCTTGGTCATGAATTGTGCTCCCGTGCCTTTAATAGTTGTTTGGCAAATAGATATTCAAAAGGCAAGACAGGAGCCTCTCTTAGTCCTCCTGGAGATCCCATGGACCAAAGATAGGACCTTCTGCGTGCAAAGGAGATGTCCCACCCTGAGCTGCTGCCTCCGGTACTGGAGATAATAGCTCGGAGTCATTGGTTATCTTAGGTTTAACTTTGAATCCACTGCAGAATGTAATTTCATGAGATTTTGCTCCCTTCTGTTGCAACGAGAGCAACAAGCCAGGTCTAGTCATCCTCAGGAAATTAAGTTTGTGAAATTAACTGCAAAGCTGGAATTGCCTGTTCAGGAATCTCTATGGGCTTCAGGGGCAGTTTTATTCTTGACCAATTAATTATCTCATTGAGGAAGGCTTACCAAATGCAAACAGTAATAAAATATAAATAATAGGATAGGTTTTAATTGATTCCCACCGTAAACTTGAGGGGTGGTGGTGGAATGCTTTCATGGATGCTATTCTGAAGAAAAAGAATAATTGGCTCATTAACCATAGCTGTATCAACTTGTTCTCATTAGGAAGGTCAAACAAATAAAAAGAAGTAGTTCTGAGGAGCACACCGTTCTACATAAAAGAGGGCAAAAGTTCTACAATTTCAGTCAAAGGGCTCATGTAGGACATAGGCGCTTCCTGTGTTGTTTTAGCACTGAAGCGGGGTATTTGTGGCAAGCAGTTGCAGGGGTGGCCCAAGGCATCTCAGGTGCTGGGGGGGGGGTGGAATCCCCACCACCACCTTCATAACAAGCCATACCTACTGAAATCCCTTCTTTTTCTAACTATTAAAGGTGCAGGAGTGCTGCCCTCTCCTACTATCAAGGATGCAGAAGCCCTTGTCCATTTTTTAAAAACTTGGATACCCTACTGTCTTGGGTTCTAGGGACAACAGCACTGCCAGCTTTGGGGGCACTAGAGACTTAATGCAACTGTGCAATACTGTAAGGGGTGTGGGGGAATCCCCCCCCATTCTATATGGGCTCTATACCAGCTAGAGACAAAGGCAAAAGTGAATGGGACCGGAGTCAAAATAATAATAACGGATGGGAACGTTTGTGGACCACCGGTGTGAAATTTACAGCATGTAATGCCTTGAAAGAAAATATTATGAAAATGATATGCCCATGGTACATGACCCCAGTCAAGCTTGCAAAAATATACCATTTGCCTGATAACAAGTGTTGGAAATGTAAAGAGACTGAAGGGACATTCTTTCACCTCTGGTGGACGTGCCCAAGGGTTAAGGCCTTCTGGGAAATGATCTATAATGAACTAAAAAGGGTATTTAAATATACCTTTCCTAAGAAACCAGAGGCCTTCCTACTGGGCATTGTCGGCCAAATGGTGGCAAAGAAGGATAGAACTTTCTTTATGTATGCGACAACAGCAGCAAGAATACTCATTGCAAAGCATTGGAAGACCCAAGATCTACCCACCCTGGAAGAATGGCAGATGCAACTGATAGACTATATGGAATTGGCTGAAATGACTGGCAGAATCCAAGACCTGGGAGAAGAGACAGTGGAAGAGGACTGGAAAAAGTTTAAAGACTATTTGCAAAAATATTGTAAATTGTATGAATGTTAAGAGGATGCGGGATAGAAAACAATTTGGCATTAGTAAACTAAGCGGAAAGATATATGAAAATAAGCTAACTTTAAGAATAAGGTTGAAATTATGAATTAGCAGATGAAACTCAAATATCTAAGTATTTGAAAACAAAGTTCAAAATTTGGAGATAAAATTTTTTGGAAAGTAAATAACAAGATTTGAAAGAAGATGAAGTACTACTGAATATAAATTTTATAAACGGGAACGCAGGAAAGGGAGATGTGAGGAAGTCTAAAAGGAAGGTTTATGGAAGATTGGTTCAATGAAAAGTAATAATGTTGTATTGTATCTGGTTTGTGTGTGGTTAGTATTCTGTTTTTTCTTTTCTTTTCCCTTTTTTCCCCCTTATCTAAGTTGGTGATGGTGTTTTATATGTTTGGTATGGTATTGTTAAAACCTTTAATAAATTTTTTAAAATAATAATAATAATAATAATAATAATAATAATAATAACGGATGGAACAAGCGATGGGTGGAGCAAGGGAACAACGGGTGGACCTCTGTACAGTAGACCACATTCCATCCATAAGAAGGTCAAATGTTCCCCAATGCCCAATCTTTATCGTAATGGGCAATAGGTATTATCCTACAGGATGGGGTATGGCCTGAAGAGGAGAGAATCACAGTGGTGGCCAAATTGGGCCCTCCAGCTGTTTTTGGACTACAACTCCCATCATCCCTAGCTAACAGGACCACTGGTCAGGGATGATGGGAACTGTAGTCCCAAAACAGCTGGAGGGCCAAGTTTGGCCACCACTGACTTAGGAAGAGGCCTGGCGGCTGCATTCAACTCCCAGGAGCCTGAGGTTCCCCAACTCTGCTATAACCAAACAGGCACTCTGATAAGGCAGGTCCCAAGATGCAATTCTCTAGGCTGCACCCCATGCTTCCATCTAACTCCAGCTAAAAATGTTCAGTTCCCTTCTTCCATGACTTCACCTTCCCCAAACTGTCAGGGGTATCTAATTCAAAAGCAATAGGGATCCCCAGCCAGTAGTAGCCTAACAATTAGCGATGAAGCATTAACCCTCCCCCCTGGGCTGTTAACCAGCAATCCACCCAACACAGGAAGGATCAGCAACGATAACTCTTGTTGCAAGACCCTTTCATAGGCTCCATTTCTATGGTGCTTGTGTTATGGTGTAACAGAAGTGCCAACACCTCAGGCAGAAATACTGCCTGATCATTCACCTCCCTGATGCAAACAGTAAAAAGAAAGAAAGAAAACAATCTTTCTTTTCTTTTTAGCTGGATGCCTGTGCCATATACCTGGCCAACAAATAAACAGCAGTCACTAACCATGCCATGTTGAAAATAATGGCAGTTAATCCAAGAGACACCTGCAGATGTTCAGTTCACCAGGAAACCCTGCAATATATCTTTGGAGGGTGTCTGAATTCGTCTTTTATTTATGAGTGTAGTGTCTCTTTGCTTGCTTGGGTCATTATTTTCGGTGTACATTTTACAGTCTGTTTTTGCAGATGGTTTGTGTATAGCCAGGGCACTCAAGCTGAGTTATGTGGTGCTGTGTAAAAGGCTTCCCACAAATATTTTGCAGCGACTACCTAAGGGAGGAAGAGAATGTTCAAAAGAACAGGCAGGAGAGAACCAAAGTTAAAGATCAGTCGGAATCAAAGGCAATGGGCACAAAGTTACTCAACTGTTATTCGTGGTATATGAGACGCAAGGTCCTTTAGACGTCTCTCCAATGTACCCTCAAAGCAATATGCTTGAAGTTTCAATTGAACACATGTGGAACTGAGCCTGGGAGAGTAATTTGCCCACGGCCTGTCAGGAAGTCCAAAGCTAAGTGGGATTTGAAGTCAGGCTGCTAAGTCTGTGTCTACAAACATGTTGTCCTCTGTCTTCCCACAAGACACACACAACCACAAACCCCTTTTCACCTAACATGACAAAATAACATAAAATGGGGGATTCATAGAATTCCAGAAACAGACACACAGAACCTTTCTACATAATGTTTTCAGTTCAGAAGTTGGATAGTTGAAGCAATTCACCATTTCAGGAATGAGGGCTCCCATCAAAAAGTTCAGAGGGTGAGGGAAATAACAGTATATGTTTGGGGAAACCTGCAATGTTTCTTCTGGGAGAAATTCCCACTATTTTGTTTCCACTAGGAACAATACAGGGGGGCGGGGATCACAGCAAGGTTGTCCAATACAAAGTTGACTGTTTTTGTGAGCACAACATCTTGTAAACCAGTCACTTCCTTCTTCCCACATATATTTGCATTGTTGCAACCACTGGCTCTAACTAGCAAACAGCTACTGTTCATTCCATTAAGCTAATTCAAAGAGGTGCCTAACAACCAACTTGCCCACATCTTGATCTATTTCTTAGTGGAAAAAACAGCTTAGGAATATTCCCCTATCTTTTGGGGGCATAAGGCCAGTCTAGTTTGGCAACAAAGAACTCATTGCCTAGTAACATTTGCATTAGTATTTATGTTGAAGCGGATCATGGAAGACCCATAACTCAGTATATACATTCATGCAGAAGGTTCCATGTTTAATCCCTCGCAGCATCTCCAGGTAAAAGGATCAGATAATAGGTGATGTGAAAAATCTGTCTAAGACCCTTAGAGAACCACTGTCAAAACAGACAAATAGTAGAAGTTAGTTTCCTATGCTGCTGTCATGGAAAGGTGTTGAGGGATATGCTAGTATATCATATGATACGTTGAGGGTGTCTTTTTGAAGCAATGCTCATTGTTGTCACTCAGACAAACAACCTTCAGCTATCATAGGAGATTGTCTTATGCACCATGACACACCCCTCCTTGATAATTCTGTGGTTCATGATCTTATAATCAACAGTGCTCACTGGAGACTCTGGGTTTTAACATTTTCCAGCTGCTGATGGTTCTGGGTATGTTTCCATTGAGTCTGTGTGTATGTACACATATCCAGAACATGCCCATATGTTGAAATAGTCTGGGGAGGTGTAGCAGCTTCTGTGAGGT